GAAGACTGGACGTAGCCCTTAGTGGTGAACCAGTATAATTTGCTGTGTCGTTATTCTTGTGCTTTTACAGTTTTCTTCCTATTTTCATATATTTTGGTTGTGTTTGGATATTTCTGTGGAAAGAGAAATTATTCAAGGTCTTCAATTTCCCAACAGTTGGTAGACCGGCCAGAGTAGGGAGTTTGTGTGGTGTAAATATCAGAAATCATACATCAAGTAGGGATTTTGAATAAAGAGATAGAAAATAAGATAGAAAAAAGATGGATTTTGATGCACATTGTCAAAAACTATAACCTTCAATAAACTCACCCCGTTTCTTCTTCTTTTTTTTTATTACTGAGGAGTCTACGGTCATTTGGTCTTTATGTCTTTGGGAGTATGCGCACTATTCCCATATCCGTAGATACGCAAGGGATCATTATTTGGTTGGAGTTGTGTTTCATGTGATTTGAACCCAATACCTTAAAGATATTACTTGAGGCTTCAAACCACCCAAACTATCACTTGGGAACTAAACTCGCCCCTTTCCTCACCCAACCTCTTTTCTTCTTTACTCAAAAACACATTTGATTTAGTGATTTCATTTTTCTTTTACTCAACTCAAACACTAATAACATCGCACTAACATAACATAGCTTTCACATGTATCTATACTGAATGTCAACTCATTTTCCACGTCTAAAGAAAACATCGTCACAAGGAAATTTTTAATAGATTTAGCAAAATTAAAATCAAACATAAATTATTTACCTTGTGGACTTGATATAGCTTTCAATAGAAGCACCAACAAAGCCACTAACCATGGTGGCCGAGGCCATGAAGATTGGGTCACGGTCAATAAACTGATCGGTTTGAATGATAGTGCCGTCAGCTCCAAGTGATTTGACAACAGAATCAGAGCCCGGAGTCATCATTTTGCAAAACACAAGCCTTCCTTTGACCTTTGCCGGATCAAGTGAGCCATCTGCACAAAAGCTTGCACTGTCTCGGCTATCTATGCTCCTCGCCGCATCACCTCCATCCACTAATGGGTACATTTTCTGCCTTGGATTGAATGTGTTTATTCCTATGCCCTGCATGGACAATTCATTCCATAAAACAAACATTGTTTTAGGTTGAACGATCTCCTCCCAATTATGTTATCCAACCTTAAATTTTCATTACTTCAATCATATGCGGTGACAATTCGAACATCTAACTTTTACGATAGTATATAATATCTTAGTTAATAAGTTGTGACATATTCAAGTTGACCTTATCATTATTAACGTGTGTTGCTTAAATATTTATTTGATATGCGATTGAATGATTGTGCCAGAACATTTGATAAATAAATAAGTAGTCCAAATAATAAAACAAAATAAATAAACAAAAAAAAAATAATTTAAAAGACATTCAACTTGTCAGAATTATATTTATCTAGATAATCATAACCTTTTGGTAGAACCATAATGTTATGTTAGAGGCTCTCAAACATTATGTTATAATTCTTAACTTTTTGTAAAATCTACCCCGGTATTGTTAGTTAATATTTAAAATACATTTAACATAACATTTTTTTAGTAGAACCCTCTAACGTAACATTTAATGTAGTAGATAATGGAAAAAAATTTGGCTCCTTAAAAGTAGGAGTAATTTCGTTTGACAATTAAGGGAGACAAATGCAAAAATAAAGAAAATTTATTAAAAAATTCATAAATTCTCAAATATTAATGTTGTTAAAAAAAGGAGTTATTTAACCTTTTTTTTGGGCATATAAATGCATTATAAATCCCAATCTTATTTCACCAGATCTAGCATAGAAAAATCATTATTCTTCTGGAAGTAAACAAAATATTCAAGCAAAGATACGCAAACTTACAGAAATGTTATTCCCGTTGCCCAACTCGGCTTTGGTGGTAAATTTTCTATCAATCGCACTGGCTGCCACAGTAAGGATCCACGGCGCGTGGTTAACAATGCTGCCGGCAGATGGGCCGGTGTTGCCGGCGGATGTCACGGTGAGAATGCCCTTCTTCATGGCATGAAATGCTCCGATAGAGATAGCATCCTCGGTGTAATTGTTGAAGCCCCCGCCGGCAATCGATATCGAGATGATATCGACGCCGTCCTGTATTGCTGCGTCGAAGGCGGCCAGAATGTCCATATCGGAACATCCAGTGGTGGTCCAACAAACCTTGTACATGGCGATTCTGCTGGATGGCACAGCGCCGCGTGCAGTTCCTTGGGCCAACCCGAAGAGGCTAGCGCCAGGAACTGCATTGCCGGCGGCAGTTGAGGCGGTGTGCGTCCCATGGCCGCTGACGTCTACTGGCGATAAGATGTCGATGGGATCAGGGGTGCCATCGAGCTTGAAATATCTTGCTCCGACCAGCTTGCTTTACCGTAGAAAAGATTTAACAATGGAAAATAAAATGTAGTCAATTTTGATGACGGTGTGATCTGTTTAAGTCAGTAAACCAATTCATCTTGTTCAACTTGCTCATTTCGTTTTGTTATCTCTTTATACCGTCACTGAAATCTCTAATTTGATCTACTTTTTAAAAATGCTTTTAAAGTCTAAGCTGGAAAACTAAAAAATAATAAAACAAAGGTTGTTGATTAAGCTAATAATTAAAGGAGTGAAAAAATGGAAAAGGGAATAAAATTTTACTTGTTGCAGCCAGAGAAATTGGCAAAGTGTTGACAAGTGCCTTTCCATTTCATGGGTGGAGGACCAAACCCAGTATCTTTGAAACTCTCCGCCGTTGGGGTGATCCCTGTTAATTATTCCTTTTTCATCAAGTTAAGTGAATAGATAATTCAATTTTGAATATTTTTTTTAAATCGAATTTATATAACTATCTATTATTTACAAAAATTTGTCAATTTTGCCGTTTTTGTTCTACTTTTATAAATCACGTGGATAAACATTAAAAGGAAAAATTAAATCGTTTTTCTCCTTCTACTTAGCTCGTGTCAGTTCTAGTCTTACCAACTTTCAAGCATATTTAACAAAATTAAACTTTCAAATGGATAAACTGTGAAATTCATATCTTTTTAAACTACAATTAAAAAATAATAATAATAAAAAACTTACTCGTAAGCTGGTTCAATAAATCATACAAAATTCAATCAATAAAATACTCAAAATTAGGTCACAAAGGTACCTGAAGCACAACCACAAAAATATCTTTATCCACAAAAAAATGTCAACCAGATGAAAAAAATATTTAATATTGCTAAAAAAACCAGTACTACAAAAATAGTCTCATTTAACCATAAAATTATTCATAACTATTAGCCAATCAAATATATATACAAATAGAAATTTAACTAACGGTTACTTAATTTCAAAACTTATTCAAGTTTAGTGTTTTAGTTGATGAAATTGAAACTTAGATATTAAAATGGGAATAAAAAAAGGTAAAAATTAAGATTTTCTCTTAAGAAAAAGAAAAAGATAGAGCAAGTTACCAGTATCAAATAAACCTACAATAATATCATTCTCTTTTTTGGGATGTCTTCTTACATTGGGAGGAAACCCAACGAAGTCCCATGATCTTGTTGTCTGTAGCTTTCTATATGTGTTTGGGATCACAGAATGCACTTCTCCCCTCTCTAAATGACATGCATGGTTAAGAAAACATAAATAAAAAAGAATAAGGTTAAAACGTAAATAAAGAATAAATACAGGCACCAAAGAGAAAATTTTAATAATATAATGGGATACAATGCAAATTAAGCAAAAAGAAAGAAGAATGCATATGGATATGAAATTACTCGATAATGTTTCCGCTTCCTCTTTACTAAGCTTCGCAGCAAAGGCATTGAAACTTTTTGTGTAGCTGTGGACCATTGAGTCTTTGGCATCAGCATGGCTACAAACATATAAAAACGTTAATTAGAATAGTCATTATTATATGATTGTCATTCTCATAAATATTTCAAAAGTAAATGAAATGGAAATATTTAAACATTTAACCTACCTTTCTTTCACTGACGTAAGAACATTGAGATGTGTTTCTACTGCATCGTTTTTATTTAAAACAGGTTCATTGTTGCTTAGAAAAACAATGAAATGGTTCTGCAAGATGTAATTAAAAAAAACACATAAATGAGATAATTGAAACTTATAAAAGCATTAAAATGACATGTAAATTTATCAATTCAAAACCTTGTCCTCGTCGTTTTCAACGGCAGCAACATATCCTATGACAAAGAGAAGAACAAAAACGACGAGACAAAAAGTCTTCTCTTTCAACATGATCACGGATGAATCGAGAATCTCCCACTCGATTATTAAAATAGCCACAACTCTCTCATATTTATAAGGTGTTGCGTTCGAAATGAAAGGATTAGAATGTTTCCACGGTTAATCTATTTAAAGAACATGAAAACTAAGCCGCAGTTTTAATTTAAAAAGAGAGAAGAAATTTGCAAATATAATGGTATGCATTTGGATCATGTGACAAGAACGATAGATTTAAAAGTTGTCTTAAAAGAGATAATTGGTTTTTTTTTTTTTTTTCATTCCTTCCTTGCAAAGTTGGAAAATATTTGAAGAAAGATAAACAATAATCGATTCTATACACATTTTGCTTCCTTTTGCTGGCTTTCTTTATGACATTTAAATATGAAGGCAAATTCCTTTCTCAACAATAATCATCGGTTTTCTTAATTATAATTCTTACTTGGACTATTATAGATGTATATAGGATGTATTTGATATCTTAATTATAATTTCTACGTAGACTAATTCGTAATTTGGGTTTTGTTAATGCCCTTTTGTCAATTACCATTTTTGTCTACATGTATGAACTGGGTTTTGCTAGTGCCCTTTTGTCAATTACCATTTTTGTCTACATGTAAAAATTTTGTTTTGTCAATTACCATTTTTGTCTACATGTATAAATTGGGTTTTGTTAATGCTCTTTTGTCAATCACATTTTTTTGTCAAGGGGTATATATTGGGTTTTGTTAGTGCTGATCTTTTGTCAATTACCATTTTTATCTATATATATACAATGTATTTAATTATGATCACACATTTTTAGATTAAATTATAAACTTCGTCCATGCATCTATTTATACATTAAAAACTATTTTGTATTTATTTAGTACTAAAAAATTTAAGAAAGTTGAAAATTCGTTCATTTTTTTTAATTATACTTTCATTCAATTTTTACCATTAATAAAAGACTGATATATATTACAATGCTCATTATACTAATTTTAATTGACTTAGCTTGATGTGGTGGATGAACGATTAGATATGATATATTGACCAACATTGTTACAAGGGAAATGATTGCAAACAAAATCTCATATTGGCTAGGTAGGGATGGTGATAGTATATCATGCTACGAGGGGTATAATATGAGATCATAAGTTCAACCCTACAAAGGAAATCGATATTTTGGGAGGTTTGCACACGACAAGGGAGAAAATTCTCTCAATTTTATTCAATTCAATGATTCTAAAGTGTCCACTGCTAGAGTGAAACACGCCTATTTATAGGCTAAGATTCTATGTCCAAACATCACATGCCAAGATATGTGGTCACCATCATAGGTACTCAAGATATTGTGTCAAATTACAAATTAAAATAATAAAAATTAAAACATTCTTTCCTAAAATTGAAAAAATTTCTAAAACTAAAAAGCAAATAAAATTAAAACAAAAATAATTTCTTCAATTGTTTTGAAAACAAATTAGGTCAACTCTTTTCTAACCTGTTTCAGGAGTGGGTGGCAAGGCACGTGATTTTGGCGCCAAGGATGGGTGTCAAAGGGGGTAGCGGCATCAACGAATGGGGCGCCTATAGGGTTGGTGTGGTGTGGCGTGCTCATGGGG